ACGGAGGATGGGGGAGAAGGAAGAGGAGGCGGAGGAGGAGGAAGAGGACGAGGATGAATGTGCGGATGAGGATGGGTCAGGATGAAGGTGCGGATGAGGATGTGTCAGGATGAAGGTGCGGATGAGGATGGGCCGGGGGATGGGGATGAGAGGAGGCAACCGAGGAGGTGGGGGAGCAGGTGGATGAGGAGGATGCTGATGATGACGATGATGATGATGCTGATGATGATGATGCTGATGATGATGAGGATCATGATGATGATGCTGATTATGATGCTGATGATGATGAGGAGGAGGAGGATGAGGAGGAGGAGGAGGAGGAGGAGGGGGGAGAGGAGGAGGAGGAGGAGGAGGACGAGGATGATGATGATGATGAGGTGGAGGAGGATGAGGACGAGGGGGAGGAACAGGGCAAATAATACCAGTATTCATACCACAGCAGTGTTAATCATGCTAATGCGATAAAGAAGGAGACGCATTGTGATATGAAGGGGGACCAGGCGAATTTTCAGAAGAATAATGAGACTCTCACAATCAGAGGTAACTATGGTACGACGACTTCGAATAGCACCACTGCCACCACTACGCATACTCGCATCATTACTGCTACTAGTATCACTAATCATACTTTGGGCACAACAGTAATGCTACGGTCAATACTACTAATACTACTGATAACATGAACGCTAATCGTACATAGTAATCGAAGTACGAATACTTATATTACGGATGTTATTAGTAATATTGCTACTACGACTACTTACTATTCAAATTACTACCACTAAACATACGGCTAATGCTATAATGGAAACGGTCAGTGTCAATAACGCGAATCGTACTCACGCTAGCACTCACACTAATGTAAATGATTTTACTTCAAATAGCACTAATGCTGCTAGTATCCTGATTGCTAGCATGACTCATACTTAATATACTTCTGGCGGTTCTAATAACAGTACGAATCGTAATAGTAATGTTGCGCGTAATACGATGACCAGTAATAACAATAGTACACCATACCAATTATACTAATGCTACTCGTACTACTAATACTACTCTTGCTAATGATCGTATTGCTACTACTGGTAAATATTAATACCACCACTACTACTAATCTCGCTACTCTTACTATTAATATTCGTATTGTTATTTTTATTGATGTTGTTATTATTTTCATTGTTATCATTCTTAATTTTGTTATCACTACCGTTCTTACCTTATTCGTATTACTACTATTGCTGATACTACGAATACTCAGCATAGCACCACAACACATACCAGTACTACTGTTATCACTACTTACCAGTACTACTGTTATCTACTGTTATTCTACTCAGACGGCAAGAGGACGACTACTACAAAGGAGACTTCGAATAATACGGATACGCATGCCTCTTAATCATACTCCGAGGACGAGGATGCTGATGACGAGGAGGACGAGGAGGGAGATGATGATGATGATGATGATGATGATGATGATGATGATGATGATGATGATGATGATGATGATGATGATGATGCTGATGATATGATGATGATGATGATGATGATGCTGATGATGATGATGATGATGAGGAGAGAGGAGGAGGAGGAGGAGAGGAGGAGAGGAGGAGGGAGGAGAGGGAGAGAGGAGGAGCAGGGGGAGCAGGAGCAGGAGGGAGGAGGAGAGGAGGAGGAGGAAGAGAGGAGAGGGGGAGGAGGAGGGGGATGAGGCGGAGGAGAGGAGGAGGAAGGAGGAGGAGGAGGAGGAGGAGGAGGAGGAGGAGGAACGGAGGAAACGGAGGAGGAGAGGAGGAAGAGGAGGAGCAAGGAGCAGGAGGAGGGAGGGGTTGGGGGAGGGGGAGGGGAGGCGGAGGGAGGAGGGAGGAGAGGAGGAGGAGGAGGAGCAGGAGGAGGAGGCGGAGGAGGAGGAGGAGGACGAGGAGGAGGAGGGGGAGGATGTTGCGCAGGAGGAGGAGGAGGAGGAGGAGGAGGAGGAGGAGGAGGACCAGGAGGAGGAGGAGGAGGAGGAGGAGGACCAGTGCAAAACCAAGAGTCATCAACGATGTTGGAATTCACACATCCTCCAAGCTCCTTCTTCATATGCCCCCCACAACGGTTCATTTCCATTGAGGGAATTGCCTCGTTGGAAGACAACCCTTTGAAGATCCTAAAGCATGCCAAAACATTGTTCTCGGGATTTGAACGCCACGTGTCAAGCTGACTGCTACGCCTTGACGATCCGGAATCGCACCAAAGCACCATTTTTCGGATTTCGACACCGCGAATCAACATAATTGTTGCACCCGCATAATCCGGATTCCTTCCCAAACAGCATTTCTGGTACCTGGATGATGGGAATCCGTTCGACTCGTGCAGATTGTGAAAACGAATATGCGCGGCGCGAAGGCGAGAACCACATGTTGAAAAGGAACCGCCCTCAATCCGTGAAACCCTTGCAACTGTTTAAAGCGAATGTGCGCGGTGCTAAGGCGAGAGCCACATTTTGAAAACCACCCGCCCTCAATCCGTGAAACTCTTGCAAAGTTTGAAAACGAATGTGCGCGGTACTAAGGCGAGAGCCACATTTTGAAAACCACCCGCCTTCAGTCCGTGAAACTCTTGCAAGTTTTGAAAACGAGTGTGCGCGGCGCGAAGGCGAGAGCCACATTTTGAAAACGACCCGCCCTCAATCCGTGAAGCTCTTGCACATGTTTAAAGCGAATGTGCGCGGCGCTAAGGCAAGAGTCACATTTTGAAAGGGACCCGCCCTTCATCTGTGAAGCTGGTGTCATTATTTAAGCTTCACAGTCATAAGTGATGAGGAAGTCTCAGGCGAAACGCCAGGCCCGCCCTACACATTGGCCTCGGGGTGCGACAGGGAGGAGTTATCTATTGGGAGAAGGAATGGAGGAGGAAGAGGAGGAGGAGGAGGAGGAAGAGGAGGAGGAGGAGGAGGAGGAGGAGGAGGAGGAGGAGGAGGAGGAGGAGGAGGAGGAGTAGGAGGAGGAGGAGGAGGAGGAGGAGGAGGAGGAAGAGTCTTCACTTCTCGGCACCTCTCAATGAGCTCATTTGGGCAGTTTTGGGGCTGTCTTAGGCTCCTATGGCGCCGTCTTGGGGCCGTCGTGCCGTCCTGGGGCCCGCTTGCGCAGTCTTGGGGCCTCTCTGGCAGTCTTAAAGCTCTGTTGGGCCGCCTTGCGGCCATCTTGCCCGCATCGGGTTGCCACGAGCCGTCTTGGCGCCGTCTTGTGCCGTCGGAGGGCCTTCTGAGGCCTTCTTGGGCGTCTCTGGAGGCCCTATTGGGCCGTCTTGGGGCCGTCTTGGAAGCTTCTTGGCCATCATCGGGTCCTCGTTGGCCGTCTTGGGACCCTCCAGGGGGCCTCTGGGGCCGTCTTGAGACCATCCTGGAGGTTTTTTGAGGCGTCATGAGCTGACGGACGCTCAAACATATAATCATGCGAGAACCTTTCAGCAACTACAAACCAAACATTGCTTTTGGCCTCTTCTGGCTCTGCTTGTGATTGTTTTGTGGCCCTCTTTGGCCCTCTTGGGGCAATATTGAGCAGTCATGCCATTTTTTGGCCACCTTGTGGCCATCTTGGGCCGTCTTGGAGGCATTTTGGATCATGTTGTTGGCCTTTGTTGCCTGCCTCGGCCGTTTTGGAAGCTCAGGAGCGCGCATCCAGTGTTTTTGCAAAGGATCGTGGCCTCGGGAGCGTGGGCCCATGTTTATTTTGGCGGCGCCGCCCAATTTCGGCGCACTCCTCACACGTTTCGTGGGCCCATGGGGAGCTCCACCGAGGGCTCAAGTGGAAAAATCCGCACGGCAGCCCCGCTCCATGTTGGCGCACCATCATACGTTTCGTGGCCCCATAGGGAGCTCCACCGAAAGCCCCAGCGACAAAGTTCGTATGGCGGTGCCGCCCCATTTCGGCGCACCCATCACACGTTTCGAAGCCCAATAGGGAGCTCCACCGACGGCTCCAGTGGCACAGTTTCCGTGGCGGCGCCGCCCTATTTCGGCGCACCCTCGCACGTTTCGTGGGCCCAGGTACCCATAATGCGGTACGTACTCACAGCTGCGTATGGTTGGGTCCTTCATCATGCTGTTTTTGTACAAGGGATCGCTGCCTCGGGAATGGGGCGGCGGTGCATGCAACACGCTGTGGTGAGAGGGGGACGGCTCTTTAGAAGATAGATTCCAGAAATTCTACTACACGGCCCTTGGCAGTATTCCACACCTCAACGTGCTAGGGGGCACGGTGGCGGATCAGCACTCCTCCGAGTCTCCCCCCTCCTCCTCCTCCTCCTCCTCCTCCTCCTCCTCCTCCTCCTCCTCCTCCTCCTCCTCCTCCGCCTCCTCCTCCTCCTCCTCCTCCTCCTCCTCCTCCTCCTCCTCCGTCTCTCTCCCCTCCTCCAACCCCTCCCTCATCTTTTCTCCTCCGCCCTGCTCTTCCTCCTGCTCCTCCTTCACCTATACGCAGTGTCCAGAACGCCGGCCTTCCAAGAGCGTGTTTCCTTACTGCTTGGGGCATGACAGGCGTCATGGCCCCCGCCCCCCCCCCAATGACGTAACGCTCCCCCCCCGCGCGGGCGCGGCTGTGGTGCCGGAGCCACACGGCGGGGGGGGAGGGCGTTACGTCATACCCCCCCCATGACGCCCGTCATCGCCGAAAGTAAAGACACGCCCTCCAACGGCATCGCCAGCGAGCGGCACCGCAGCGTGATCAGGAGTGAGCTCTCTGGGAGAGGTGGAGGGGTGGGGTGAGTGGGTGGGGGGAGGGGAAAGGGAAGGAAGAAGGGGAGGGGATCGGCGGTTCGAAGAGGATCGGGCCCTGAGACATGGGGCCCTCAGGATATGAAGGCATTCCAGGTTGCATTGACACTCTTTGAGGCCCCTCGCCTTTAGGGCCCCATCCCTCCGGGCCCCATCTTTGAACCACCGAGGGGAGGGGAGCGGGGTAGGCGCATGTCTGGACATCCTCACCCGCCTCTTGCGGGCGGCCCGTCGGCTCCCACAGGTTCGAGGCCAACAGCAACAAGTGCGGCGCGTTCGCGCTGGCAGGTCCGGAGGGGCCGACGCCCCACCGCCTGTGTGCCCACATGGGGGCGCTGCCAACAGGGGACTGCTCTCCTGGCGGATGCCCCACGGCGGGGGCTTGATTTAAGTCGGGCCTGTCCCTCTGCAGGGGGAATAGTCAACAAGTAGTCAAAAAATAAGCTGGGGACGATTCTTTGAGCATTTCTGAATTTTCTTGGGGTATTTTTGGACTATGGTGAGTTTTTAATCAAAAATCCGCCTGAAGGGGGGACGCGCCCGACCTAAGGCTTGACGCGCTCTACCAGGAGCCTGGACCAACATGAAGTGGCCCGCCCTGGGCGAGAGCTGCATGCGCGTGCGGCCGCTCGCCTCTCCAGCGCTCGGCTCCCGTGTGGCCCAGCGCGCTGGCCCTCGGCGCGTGCCTCCCGCGCGCGGCCTCCGCAGGCTCCGCGCGTGAGCCCAGTGCTGTGGGCACATGACGCTCGTGGCGCGTCCCGCTTGTGCTCTCGCTGCGTCGGGCCAACCGGCCCTGAGGGAACACGTGCGCGCGCGCGCGCGCGCGCGCGCGCGCGTGGTGTGTGTGTGTGTGTGTGTGTGTGTGTGTTGTGTGTGTGTGTGTGCGTGTGTGGTGTGTGTGGGTGTGTGTGTGTGTGGTTGTGTTGGTGTGTGTGTTGTGTGTGTGTGGTGTGTGTGTGTGTGTGTGTGTGTGTGCGTGTGTGCGGCGTGTGTGTGTGTGTGTGTGTGTGTGTGTGTGTGTGTGTGTGTGTGTGTGTGTGTGTGTGTGTGTGTGTGTGTGTGTGTGTGTGTGTGTGTGTGGGGGCGCGTGTGTGTGTGTGTGTGTGTGGGTGTGGTTCCACCACCCGGGTATACCCAGGGACGTCCCGAGGCCTCTGCGAAGATTGGGATTTTTCTTGAGATTTGATATTGCTCACTGCGGGCATGCGCTGTGCCCTTCTTCCCCTCTGCCCCCCTTTCTCTGTCTAGATGCAGTCGCATATCATCCGCTCTCTCTGCCCTTCTCTTTCCTACTCTTACTCTCTTACCTCAGCCTGCTTTCCTGTTTCACTACCTGGCTTGTTTTGTTTCTCTCCCTCTCTCTCTTTCTCTCCCTCTCTCTTTTTTTGTTTCTCTCTCTCTCTCTCTTTCTCTCGCTCTCTCTCTCTCTCTCGTTTTCTACCTCTGTCTCTCCCCTCCCGTCTCTCTCGTTGTCTCTGTTCTTCTCTCTGCCGCGCGTCGCTGGCGCCGTGGTGCCTCCGCTGTAGAGTGCTGAGCTCCACCGATGAGGAGGAGGTATAGGAGGAGAAAACGTTGGAGGAGGAAGTGGTAGGAGGCGGAGGCGGAGGCGGAGGCGGAGGCGGCGGCTGCGGAGGATGAGGAGGAGGAGGAGGCGGAGGAGGAGAAGGAGGAGGAGGAGGGGGAGGAGGAGGAGGAGGCTCGAGGTCTTGGGCAGAGCCGTTAGTTTCGGGGCGACGGCCCGATAGCGCGGATGTGTCCTCGTGCGGCGAGAGGGCGCGGGATTCCTGCCGCGCTTCGCGTGAAACCACCATTTCATCCAGCAGCGGTGCCCTCGCGAGCTGCACCGGTCCGGGAAAGTGCGGGAGCGCGCAGCGGAGCAGAGAGGGAGGGAGCGGGGGGCAGCCGTCAGGGCAGGGGCAGGGGTAGAGCCCTCCCGGAAGGGGACGAGGAGGGTGTCAGAGGAGGAAGCGCGCGAAGCCGCCGCTGGTGGGACGGGGTGGCCCGGGCCTGCTCCTCTCCTCGGGGGGGGAGGCCCCCTGGCGGCGTGCCCGGCGGCGCGGGGCGAGGGCCAGGCGAGGGCCTGCGGCCCGCGGGCAGGCGGGCGGGCTGCCTGCGCGGAAGGGGCCCGGCCCCCCGTCGGACGCCGCCCCAAGAGGGCCCTGTTCGACTACACATCGTTCACTCTGATTTCTTCGAAAGTTCTTTGATTTTTTTGGGGTCCAAGATCCTTTCATTTCTAATTGTTCTATCCTGAGCCTCTTCCTGGCCACTAGGGGGCCAGGAACAACCAGACACGAGCACAATTAGAAATGAGCACGATTAGAAATGAATCGACGTGTACACGCAAGAGTGACCTTTCGCCGGAGTGACCTTGGGTGCGGGCCCAATGGGCCTCCCGATGCGCCGAACGCGATGCGGGACAAGCGTCTTGCGCGCTCGTGCTTGGTCCCCCCGCGGCCCCCAAGGAACCGCGCAAAAAAAGAGGTCACTCTTACCCAGGGTCACTCTTGCGCGTAGCCGACTTGTGGGAGGCATGGGGGGCGTCTGAGAGGGCCGCCCCCGTCACCCCGATTCTGGCCAGAGTCCTCTCAAAACCGGCCCCCGTGCCCCGCTGTCTGGGGTCCATTCTGGACCGTTCGGTGGCCTTCATGACGTGAGTCAGTCCATGGTGTGCGTTACCCCCGTTCAGCTCCACCGATCGCACGAAGTCTGTGCCGGTCCTTCCTCATTGCGTTCCCTGTGTCGCATTGAAGGGCCTCGGTGGACAAGCACAAGCTGGCGCTAACACACGTCCCGAGGATCATCGAACTGTTTCTCGAGCCGAGTCCAGCCTTGACGCCGAGAACCCGCAGGACACCCCCCCCAAGACCGTCAAAACGGCGCCCACGTCGGCGACGACGTCGCCGACGCCTGCGATGTATCGGAGCTACTGAGCCCGTAGAGCGGGAGTGACGGCGGGCCCCCAGGGGGAAGTTCGCACGCAGATTTTGCAATCTGTGGGTGTTGGGGATGCTGCTTTGATGAGGCTGCGTGTAAATCGCTGCAATGTTTCTTTGGGGCGTGTCTGCGTCCGTTGGGATATTAGGTGGTCTTGGAGGCCAGCCAAGGGCCTTTTGGGGTCCATGAGGCACGACGTGCGTGAGGGGTGTGCCGAAATGGGGCGCCAAGGAGCCGTCTCGGGGGCCAGCTGAGCGCCAAACCTTCACGAAGTGCTTGAGGGGTCTGCCGAATTGAGATTCCCATCAAAATGAAAGGGCGAGTCACTCTTAGTTATAAGTCTCCCAGGAGCCTCGAGGCCCAAAGCACTAGTTTTCTTGCGTGTCCCAGGACCCTGAGACCGCAGATCACTGGTATTTTTATGTGTCCCAGTGGAGTTTCGGGCTACCCCAGGAGCTGTCACGCACATGGCCTGGCCCTGGGAGCGCATTTCAATCAGATTTTTCTGTGCCTTAGGAGAATTGCTGAAAAGTGGTTTCATCGAACACACATCGAAGCATCTTCGGGCCAGCGGAATGCGCGAAGCCGCCTCTAGCATGCTTGTATGCATGCTTCTCACCCTCCTCCACTTCGCCTTCGTTTCATCTATACCCTCGACGGCCATCACGGCCAGGGCCCGCAGGGGAGCCCGCCGAACTGAGCCCGCAGAGCGGGAGCCGCCGCGGGTCCTCGGGGGGAAGCTTTGCATGCAGATTTTGCAGTCTGTGGGTGTTGGGGGTGCTGCCTCGACGAGGGTCAGTACCAACCGTTGCAATGTTTCTTGGGGCCATGTTGGCGTCCCGTGGGGGGTCGGACGGCCTTGGAGCGCCCGCCGCAGATCACTCGTAGTTTCACGTGCCCGAGTCGAGTGTGTGGACCAGGAAGTGCGTTCGGGATGGGCCCACATGGCAGTGTCGTAGCCATGAATGCGTTGCTCACTCGTGTTTTCACGCGTCCCAAGGTAATGCCAGAGAGGAAATGCGTGAGAGGTAATCCGACACGAGGCTTTCGCAGCCCTGAGGGCGTATTTCATTAGTGATTTTACGTACCCCAGAAGCTGTCACGCGCGTCGGCCTAGCGCTGGGAGCATGTTTCACTTGTGTCCTTACGTGTCCACAGGAGAATTTCTTATATCGGCCGGCGGAATGCCAAAAAAGGCCGGCGGAATGCGGGGTGGGGTTGTCGGAATCCGCGAATCCCTTCTAAGCATGCCTTTTGAACACATCTCACTCCCCTCCATTTCGTCATCATCTCATCATCTTGTCTCGAAGGTTAACACGGCGAGGGCCCACAGAGGGCCCGCCGAATTCGATCGCTCTGCTCATTCCGCTGGCCCATGTTTGCATCGCTGCGGCTGTAGGCTGTTGTGCTCGTGGCCAGCGAGAAGGATGATGATGATGATGATGATGATGATGATGATGATGATGATGATGATGATGATGATGATGATGATGATGATGATGATGATGATGATGATGATGATGATGATGATGATGATGATGATCTGCTGCTGCTGATGATGATGATGATGATGATGATGATGATGATGAGGAGGAGGATGAGGAGGAGGAGTAGGAGGAGGAGGAGGAGGAGGAGGAGGCGTCTCGATTGCTTCCCTGGGCGCTGCTGCGATGCCGACGGCGACGTCGCCGACGCCCGCGAAGCTGCGGGGCGCGGCTGCGCCCTCGCCCCCGCCAGAGGTCTGAACTTCAACATGACCGCCAACGAAGCCTGCTGCGCCTGCGGTGGCGCTGCCCCCGGGGGGCGCCGGGGGCTGGGTCCAAATGGGCGGAAAACGTATCCGTACGGTTGGCGTCGCACGGAGTCGTGGGTGTCGCGGGAGGGTCGCGGGTGGGTCGCGGGTGTGTCGCGGGCGGGTCGCGGGGTGGGTCGCGGAGAACGAGGGAAAGTCGCGGGGGGGGGGTCGCGGGTGGGTCGCGGGCGGGTCGCCGGCGGGACGCGGGGCGGGTCGTGCGATGTGGTGCCGCTGGCCCGCTTGTGCCGCGCTGTCCACGCCACACTGGGGATAAGCGTGCACGGAGGAAGCGGCGTGGCACGCTGCCCCCGAGCCGACTTGCACGCTGTCCCCCACGCGTGGCCGACAGAACGCGCTCCACATGGGCACCCTACGTTCGAATCTTCCATTTCGGGGCGACGGCGCGCTTTTCGGAGACCGGTGTTGCACGCCGTCTTTGCGACGCCGACCGCACTCACGGCCTCGCAGGCTGGCCGCCGGGGGCCGCGACCCCGCGGACGTGCGGCGTCTCCTCGCGGATGCCCCGCGCGGAGCGCATCCATGCGACCGCGCATGCACGGGGTCGCGCCCTGGCATCCAGGGGAACGTGCGGCTCCGCGATCGGAGGCCTGCCTCGCCGATCCGATCGGCGAGGCATCGCCGGTGCCAGGTCGACATGCTCCCTACCCCCCGCCGATCGCACTTGTTTTTTTCACAAGGGGCAGTGAGGTGACACCACACTGTGTCTTTGGCCCCTGGTTGACAACAACAGCAACATCAACAGCAACAACAACAACAGCAATCACTTTACCCGAACGCTCAGTGTTCTCACCAGTGCCAGGGTTTTCATGCGACGCCAGCCAATACCCCCACTTTGTGGGGGGGCAATGCAAGCTCTACCAAATATCCACACGACTCTTCGCCACCACCCACACCCAGCTTCCCGCCCTATGACGTTCGGACACTTCACTTCGTGGCCTGCGGACGACCGTGGCTACTACACTGGCGTGGAGTACACACCCACAGAAGTTGTTAAGCCTACGTTCGTACACCCACAGAAGTTGTTAAGCCTTGTTAACCCACAGAAGTTGTTAAGCCTTCCACAGAACATCTGTTGCATATGATGCATATGGTACATGATACACATGATACACATGATACGTACTCACAAGATAGTTGATCACATCTTTAGGGCAAATTCCTGAGGGATGTGGGAATACACAAGAGAGAGAGGATATGGTTGTCCCGATGGTTGTCTCGATGGTTGTCCCGATGGTTGTCCTGATGGTTGTGGTTGTCCCGATCGTTGTCCCGATGATTGTCCCGATGGTTGTCCTGATGGTTGTGCTTGTCCCGATCGTTGTCCCGATGACTGTCCCGATGATTGTCCCGATGGTTGTCCCGATGGTTGTTCCGATGGTTGTCCCGATGGTTGTCCCGATGGTTGTGAGCGATGCCGGATCCTCACGCCCCCCGCCGGAGGAGGAGGAGGAGGAGGAACAGGACAAGGAGGAAAGGAGAGAAGAGAGAGGAGGGGCGGGAACGGCGCTTGCACGCCCACGGGCCGCTTGGGGTCCTCTTGGGGCCGCTTGGGGTCCTGGGGCCGCTTGGGGTCCTCTTGGGGAAGGGGGGAAGCCTCCTGGCGCCGCTTGGGGTCCTCTTGAGGGGCTTTGGGGGGCTTCTTGGAAGCATCTTGGGGCCTCTTGGGGGCTTATTGGGTCCTCACGGCGGGCTCTTGGGGCCTCTTGAAGGCCTCCTGGGGCAACCTATGGCGCAACCAGTAGGGGGACGTTTTATTCTCGGCGGCCGAGGGCGCAACCTATGGCGCAACCAATAGGGGGGCGTTTTATTCTCGGCGGCCGAGGGCGCAACATATGGCGCAACCGCAAGGGATTCTGGCCCCTGGCAGGCGCGCGAACCCCGTTGCAAGAGCGTGCGAAAGTAGCTCGCGCGAGCTCATGTAACATAAATGTTGGAAAACCATTGGTTTTTTTAGGATTCGGACAGCGCGCGCGGGTAGAAATTTTGAAAAGTCGTGCAGGTGTTTTTCGAGGACCTACGGTGCGATTCGTGTGATTTTATGATGCGCGGTGCTAAAATTCTTAAGAAGCCCAATGGTTTTTGGAGATTTCGGCGTGCGCGCGCGAAGAAAAAACGAATGTGTCCCGCATGGTATTATTTGACAGGGATGATGGCCCTGGCAGGTGCGCAACCGTTGTCGCAGAAGTTCGAAAAAGTTGCTCGCAAAAGCCCGTTTGACAGAAATGTTTAAAAAGTGTTGGGTTTCCTACGAATCCGCAAGAGCGCGCGGGATGAGATTTTGACATTTTTTGTTGAAAAACCATTGGTTTTTTGATGTTTTTATGTTAAAATCGCTTCCGAACACTAAGCTTTTGGAAGGATTTCGTCTTGCGCGCGCGAATGTCCACTTTACCTTATTTTTTGCAAGGGATTCTTGAAATTTGATTATATTAGAACAAGAAATGTCATTTTATAGTGTTTTTTGCAAGGGAAAGCGGATTACAACAAAACAACCGGATCTTGACACATCGTTTACCTGAGGCTTCCTCACGAAAATGATGAAAATGTAGCTGCGGCCTAGGCGGCGCAGGGGGGGCGTGCACCAGGGGGCCCAACAATAATTATTCTTTAGAATAAATAATGTTCAACAACAACAACAACAATTACTAGCACGTGGGGACACTCCGTTCTCACCAGTGCCAGGGTTTTCATAGGAGGCGGGCAATACCCCCACTTTGTGGGGGGGCCGGTTCAAGCTCTACCAAATTTCCAAACGACTCTTCGCCACCACCCACACCCAGCTTCCCGCCCTATGACGTTCGGACACTTCACTTCGTGGCATGCGGACGACCGTGGCTACTATTCAGGGCCCCGCGGCCGACGACGACGGCGTGCGCGCGCGAAGAAAAAACGAATGTGTCCCGCATGGTATTATTTGACAGGGATGATGGCCCTGGCAGGTGCGCAACCGTTGTCGCAGAAGTTCGAAAAAGTTGCTCGCAAAAGCCCGTTTGACAGAAATGTTTAAAAAGTGTTGGGTTTCCTACGAATCCGCAAGAGCGCGCGGGATGAGATTTTGACATTTTTTTGTTGAAAAACCATTGGTTTTTTGATGTTTTTATGTTAAAATCGCTCCGAACACTAAGCTTTTGGAAGGATTTCGTCTTGCGCGCGCGAATGTCCACTTTACCTTATTTTTTGCAAGGGATTCTTGAAATTTGATTATATTAGAACAAGAAATGTTATTTTATAGTGTTTTTTGCAAGGGAAAGCGGATTACAACAAAACAACCGGATCTGGATCACATCGTTTTACCTGAGGCTTCCTCACGAAAATGATGAAAATGTAGCTGCGGCCTAGGCGGCGCAGGGGGGGCGCGCACCAGGGGGCCCAACAATAATTATTCTTTAGAATAAATAATGTTCAACAACAACTACAACAACAACAACTGCAACACCAGCAATAACAACATCAGCAGCAACAACAACACTAATAACGAAAACAACAACAACAGCAGCCGCAACAGCAACAGCAACAGCAACAGCAACAGCAACAGCAACACCAGCAGCAAGAACACCATCACCACCACCAACACTAACAACAACACCAGCATCAATAACGACAATAGCAACAACAATGGCTCCCGCCTGATACTTCATCACATGTTATTCCAAAATCGCGTTGGTTACAACTTAAGCAGGAGTCGCGCTCTCGCGTGGGACTTCCTCGCAATTTATTCTGGCGCCGCGCCCTCGACACTCAGGAATCACGCTCACGCAGTGGATTTCCGCACGATTTACCTGGGGATCGCGCTATCGCTCGAGACATCCTCGCGATTCATGCAGGACGCACGCTTCAGCAACCCGCCTGTTCGACCTGGCCGTCTGGGCCCACCTTCCCGACCCGCCCATAGGATCTACCCATGAGCGACAAACAAAAACAGGGTCGTCTGCGCCGACATTGCCGCGTAAGCTGCCCTTGTACTGTCGTGCGTAAGCGCCCTCTTTTTTTATTCGCGCGGGCGACCCGCGTAAGCCGCCGCCTAAGGCCGTTACGTCATCTCGCGTAAGACCCGTTTTTGAACGTTGCTCAGATGCAGGGTCCAAGACCCCTGGCGTCCCTGGAAAATTCTGACGGCCAGTCTTCTCAAGCCCTTGGCCTATGGAAGCCCCTCTGGGGCCCCTGGGCCCTCAGACATACGTAGGACCTGGGCTGCACAAATCTTGTCCCCTCCTGGCTGGTGTCGATGGCCCCGGGCGGCTGGCGCCCCGACTGGGCAGGAACGAACGACGTCGGGGCTCTGGGCAGGGAGGTGGGTATGGAGGGGATCAGAGGGCCAGGTCGGACGGGGCTAGGACGAGGATAAATCAGTCCCAGAACCTTCTGGAACGCTCTCAGAGCGTTCCGGAACGCTCATCTTAGAAGGCCGCGGCGCCCGAGACATCCTCCAGAGCCGCGGGATCTCAGGGGTTCTCGATGTATCCTCACCGGATCTTGTCCTCGTGTTAGCTTCGTCTTACGAGGGTTGGGAGCTGTGGACGGAGAGGCTCGGAGGGGAGTGGGCGGAGGGAGGGGCCGGGAGCGGGGATTCGGTCGCTTCGCGCCTCGTCGACGCGGCGGCGGCCCCACCGTGGGCGTTCAGGGCCGAGCGCCGTCCGGAGTTGGCCAGTGCCAGAGCGGTCTGCGCTCTCGGAGAGCCGCGATCGATCGAGGCGGAACGGTCCGTGCGGTGTCGGAGACCGCGCCCACTGCGACGCGGATGTGCCGCGGGGAGGGGGAGGGGGGGGGCAGGAGGCCGGGCGAGCGGCTTGCGAGGACGGTGGCGGTGCCTGCCCTCTCCTTGCCTGGTGACGACCACATCGTCTGAATAATGACTTGGCACAGCTGCACGGCTGTGCTTTCTCGGGCGGTGAGGGCCTGTGGGGTCTGGGCCGTCGTGGAGCGCGCAGCCGAAGGTACAAGGGTCCTGGGAATCCGCCGCATACCCAAGCGCAGTCAAGACTCCTACCAGAGACGTTCACTACCAGGGGCAGTGAACGACCATCTCCGCAGGTCCGCTGGCCGTACTCGCGACAGCCTGGACCAGGTCGACATGCCTCAGCATTCCATGGTCTTGCCATGGATACGGTGGGAGCGTTTGTTAAGGGCTGTGCCCAGGAGGCTTCAGACCATGGAAGACCCCTTGTCTGATGAGGGCGGCGGTGATATTCATAGCCAAGCCTCAATTGGAGTTCCACTGGCTTCCAGACCCTGGATTCGTTGTCAAGTAGTTCCTTATTCAATGCTCTCACCGAAGTGGGCGCACCCCGACCGGGTGGCCGCCGCATCGCCAGGGCCGCAGTCGCGACACGCCAAGTAGTTTGAGGACAGCACAGCCTACCCTCACCCCCAGCCAGAAACCCCTACTCCTAACCCGGTGATCCAGGGGATCCTGGCTGGAGGCGAGGGTGGTTGTCGCACCCAAGAACCCCCCCCTCCCCAAGCCAGGACCCCTAGGGTCAACAGGTCGGAAGTGGGGGTCCCGGCTGGGGGTGGGCTGTGCTGTCCTCATATTTTTCGTATGCCACTCCTGGGAGGTCAAATTCTGATTTTGCCCTGGTCCGAAATCTGGCTTAATCCGGCTTCACCCCGTTTAATCCCGCTTCATCCCGGTTAATCCCGCTTAATCCGAGGCCCACTCCAGCGCAACAGCTCCTAAACGGGGCTTGATCCTCCTTAATAATCCTTCCGACGAAGACCTCCCAGTAGTTGCCTCCTAAATAGATGGCGCCCCCCGACCAGGTGGCGGGGTCGGCTACCCGCCCACCACCACGCAGACGGCCACGACCACCACCGGCTGCGTGGACTGGCAGCCGACGGCCCAGGAGCTCCCCTGCGTGGCGCCCTGCCGCGCCCATCTGGCTGCCTGCCGTCGTCGTCGTCGTCGGCCCGTCGTCGTCGTCGTCGTCGTCGCCGCCGCCGCCGCCGCCGCCGTCGTCGTCGTCGTCGTCGTCGTCGTCGTCGTCGTCGTCGTCGTCGTCGTCGTCGTCGTCGTCGTCGTCGTCGTCGTCGTCGTCGTCCTCGTCGTCGTCGTCGCCGTCGTCGTCGTCGTCGTCGTCGTCGTCGTCGCGCCAGCTTGGCCCAGGCGCGCCCACGCGCCCCGCGAAACCCGCCCCAGGGGGCCTCTGGGCCTCTGCCTCCTCCCCTCCCTCGCTCTTCCCGTCCGCTCGGCCGCCGCGGGACGGAGGCGCCTCCTTGGCGCGGGGAGGCGGGGCGGCCGCGGCGCCCCCGCCGCACGGCGGCCGCGAGGCGGGCCCAGGCAGGGAGGGCGCAGGCGCGAGCAGCCCAGGCCCTGTGTGAGGCTCTTCGGCGGCCTCGCGCAGCGAGGGTGCCGCCCCCGCGGGCGGGGGCTGCCCTCGGCGACGCGCCGCGCGCGGGGCGGGCGGGCACAGGCTCCGAGTTCAACAGGGGCGGGCGGCGGAGCCGATGAGCCAAGAGGCCTCGCAGCACGGCGTGGAGACCCTGGAGGGCCCGCCGCCGCGACTCCCTGCACGGCAAGGGCGCCAGGGCGGCGGAGCCAAAGGGCGAAGGGGCGTCGCTACACGGTGGGGAGACCGTGCAGGGCTCGAGGGAGGGCGAGGAGGGGCGCGAGGAGCACGCCAAGGCCGATGCGGAGGCCAAGGGGCCGCTGGTCGGCGGCAGGGGGCCTCGGGCGGCGCCGCCAACCCGCAGGATCCGTCAGCGTGGAGGCGCCAGTGCGCAGGCGGGCGCCCGACGGCGACCTCTGCTCCGCGCAGGAGCTCGGCAAGCTCGTCGGGAAGCTCGAGGGCCCTGCGATGTGGGCGGTGTGTGCGACGGAGGCAGGCCGTGTGTATCTGGCAGGGTTGCTGGACCTCTGCTCGGCCCAGGTTGTCGGCAAGGCCCTGGAGGCGGGCCTCTCGGTGGCAGAGGTGTTGGACCACGTGAAGGAGAGGATCGGCAAGGAGGAGGCTGGCGAGGAGACTGGCGGGGACATCGACGCGGTCGGCACCGAGCGCGAGAAGGAGGGCAAGCAGGCAGGGGGGGCTGCTCGAGGTGGTAGCAGCAGGTTCGGGGTCACCCTTGAATCGGCGTCACCCCAACATACTAGTACTATGTGTGCGTCGCCCCCCTTGGGGCAACGCGCGCATCGAGACATCTCATAGTATATACGTCGTGGCGGGTGCTTTCTGGCCACGCCGCTCGGGATACGATATACTTCTAGATGGGTATACTATATGTTCGGGTCGGACGCGCGCCTCCAAGGAGGACATATAGTACTAGTATGTCTCTGTGCGTCACATTGACCCCCCCCGCGTCATGCGGTGCCCCCGCCCCGTGCTCAGCCGCGGGGAGCGGAGGGGGCGCCCCGCGAGGCGGGGCCGAGGCGGGCGGCTGGCGGGGGGCCACGAGGCAGCACCGCCAGTGGGCTGCGGGGGCTCGGGGTCGCCCTGTACATCCCCCGCGACAGGCCGTGCCCCCGCCGCGCGCTCAATCGCGGCGCGCGGGGGGTCAGAAACCTGCGCGGGCGGGCGGAACGCGGGCGTGCGCGCGCGTATCGCGCCTGGCCGCTCGGCGGGCGGTGTGAGGACATCGCCTGCCATCTTCCGGAACGTCCGAACCATTGTCTTCGTCGTCGTCCTCGTCGTCGTGGTCGTCGTCGTCGTCGTCGTCGTCGTGGTCGGCGTGGTTGTGGTTGTCGTGGTCGTCGTCGTCGTCGTTGTCGTCGTCGTCGCTGGCGTCGTCGTCGTCGTCGTCGTGGTCGGCATGGTCATGGTTGTCGTCGTCGTCGTCGTCGTCGTCGCCGCCAACGCCGTCGTCGGCCAGTCGTCGTCGTCGGCCCGTCGTCATCGCCGTCGCCGTCGCCGTCGCCGTCGCTGTCGCCTTCGCCGCCCTACCGCGGCCCAGCGTGGAGGGAAGGCCGAGAGCGCGCGCCAGCCCACCGCGCGCTCCCTCCGCCATCCCCTCCTCGCGATGTAGCCCCTGGGTTTCTGGCGGCCGGGGTCTGCAGACAGGTCTCACGTCCCCTCCTCATAAGTCCCTGCAAGCCTCCTTTGTCATAGCAAGAAGTCCCATCTTGAAAGGCCAGCACTTGAGTGAGACAGACCGAAGCGTTGAAGAGGAGCTGCCGTACATCTTCCTTGCGGATAGCAGGGGATGAACACATGTGCGATCACACCGCTCAGCGAGGTGTCCAACGATAACCCATCTGGACAAATTGCGAGTGCCACATGTTCCATCTGTGCCCGCGCAGTTGTGTCATATTGCTTTTCAACCCACAGTAGTCTCAGGCGAGAGCCCCCGTTTGAAGAAGGAGCCACCCTCCATCCTTGAAGCTGTTGCAAGCTTCTTTAAACGAATGTGCGCGGCGCTGAGGCGGGGGCCATTTTGAAAACGGCCGCTCTCCGTATTGCAGCTGTTATGTTTAAATCGGGCCTGTCCCTCTACAGGGGGAATATCCAAAAATGGTTTACAAATGATACCAGAGAAAATCTCAAACATAATCTTTTTAGGGCTTTCGGGCTATGGGGCTATAAGCTATAGGGCTAGAAGGCTATGG